TGTTAAAGTTAATTCTCATTATTATTATCCTTGCCATCTCTAAGTAAGCCCTCATTAGGTTTTTACTTCTATTTCTTTTCTGAGTAAATGGCTCTTTCTTGACATCTTGGTTTAGGATGTGCTGCTCATCTCTCAAGCTTGGACATACATCTCTAAGCTTACAAGTCCAAGACTCCATTGCCCTATTTGCCACTCCCTACTGAGAAGGGCAGGGTGGAAATCTATAGTGTAAAAGGGAAAATAGGGCCAGAAGATGGAGAACCTGCCTAGAGACAGAACAAGAGATCAAGTGTTTCTATCTGTTCCCTAGGCCTCTCCACTCTGAGACTCACCTCAGGAATTGCTTAAAGAGACCTGGGTCTGTCCTCTTCCGATGTGGTGACTTCAGTTTAGGTATTCACCATGGTCCAACATTTGACATACCATCAGAGGCTGTCCTACAATACCGCCTCTAACAAAACTAGACTGTCCCGAACCCCTGGTAATAGAATTGTTTACCTTTATACCTATAAGGAAGGTCGGGAAAGCACCAAAATCTGCATGTGGTGTGTGCCCAGGCCGACTTTGCAGAGCTTGTCCTAATGTTCTAATGAGATTGTCTAAAACAAAAAACAAACAAACAAACAAAAAAAACGCATCAGCAGGGCCTATAGTGAATCCATATGTGCTAAATGTGTCCATGATAGGATCGAGCGTGTTTTCCTTATTAAGGAGCAGAAAATCATTGTGAAAGTGTTGAAGGCACAAGCACAGAGTCCAAAAGCTAAATAAATTTAAAAATGAAACTTTTTTGAGTAGTAAAAACAAAAGTCTCATTCTGTTATAAGAGAGAGAAAAACAAAGAGAGAGAGAGTGTGTGTGTCCTGGGCCTGGCCTGGCCACTGTGGCTCAGTGGTTGAGCATGGACCTATAAACGAGGGGGTCGCTGCTTGATTCTGGTCAGAGCACATGCCTGGGTAGGGGGCTCAATCCCCAGTGGGGGCATGCAGGAGGAAGTGGATCAGGGATTCTCTTTCATCATTGATGTCCCCCACCTCTCTCTGTGAAATAAAAAAAAAATAAGGTAAGAAGAATCTAGCCCAAGAGGGAAATAATCATTATTTTTACCTCCCTTGGAGCATTCTGTGGGCCATAAGCATTACTAGGCACAGTGCTTACTGCTGGAGTAAAGATGTAGATAATAAGACCCCAGGGCTCCCCTAAAGTAATGCTTGATAGCATTGGGTGCCTTAGCATGTCATTTAGCTATCTCTGCCATGTCACTGAAGGCTATGATTATTGCTAGTCAACTACTAGTCTTTTTTTTTTTTTAATAACCACATTTTAAAAAATGTATTGATTTTAAAAAGAGGAAAAGAGAGAGAGAAACATGGATTTGTTGTTCCACTTATGTATGGATTCATTGGTTGATTCTTGTATGTACCCTTACTGGGGACTAAACCTGAAACCGTGGTGTATTAGAGCGAGGCTCCAACCAACTGAGCTTCCCAGTCAGGGCTAGACATCATCTTGATAAATAAGATGATTGGGTACAGAGGTAAATATTGAATTTTAGAAGCACGTTGGAACAATAACCAAATAATTAAGGTATAAAGGGAATAGGATAGTTCAGGAGTGTGAATAGGTGTCCCTTCTAAAGGATAGCTTAAAAGACAAAAAAAAAAAAATACTGAAATTCGAGTTTGAACTGTAGAAAATGGGAACATACTATGGTTTCTATCTTGCCCCCTCTTGGATCTCTCATTCTGGGGGAAGCCTACTGCCATATTGTGGACACTCAAGGAGCCCCATGGAAAGGCCAGTGTGAAGAACTAAGGCCACCAGCCAACAACTAGCGCTAACTTGCCAGGCATGTGAATGAACTATCTTGGAACTGTTAAGTGTCAGATGACTTCACCCTTGTGAGAAATCCCAAGACAGACCATCAAGCCAAGCTGCTCAAGAATTACTGACCCTCTGAAATTGCATGAGGTAATACACTTCTTTAAAAAAAATAAATATATATTTTATTGATTTTATACAGAGAGGAAGGGAGAGAGATAGAGGGTTAGAAACATCGATGAGAGAGAGTCATCGATCAGCTGCCTCTTGGACACCCCCCACTGGGGATATGCCCGCAACCAAGGTACATGCCCTTGACCGGAATCGAACCTGGGTCCCTTCAGTCCCCAAGCCGACTCTCTATCCATTGAGTCAAACCAGTCCCGGCAATACACTTTGTTTTGAGCCACAAAGTTTTTGAGCAATTTGCTATGCAGTAACAGGTAACAAATCACAAACACCGCCAAAACCGGTTTGGCTCAATGGATAGAGCATCAGTCTGTGGACTGAAGGGTCCCGGGTTTGATTCCGGTCAAGGACATGTACCTTGGTTGTGGGCACATCCCCAGTGGAGGGGGGGGGTGCAAGAGGCAGCTGATTAATGACTCTCTCCCCCCCTCTCTGTAAAAAAAATCAATAAAATATATATTTTTTTAAAAATTACAAACACCTATGTGCCTACAACCCAAGCTTGTCATCTTAACATTTGCCTTATTACATAAATTTTTCCTTTTTCTTTTTGTTGTTGTTAATCCTCACCAGAGGATATTTTTCCATTGATTTTTAGAGGAAGTGGAAAGGAGATGGAGAGACAGAGAGAAATGTCAATGTGAGAGAGATCGATTGGTTGCTTCTGGCATGAGTCCAACCAGGGCCAGGGACAACTCCGCAACCAACCAAAGTTCATGTCCTTCATCAGAATTGAACCTGGGACTCTTCAGTCTGCTGATGCTCTATCCACTGAGCAAGACTGGCTTTTTTTTCTTAAAAAAGCAATGGTCCCCCACTCCAAAATAAAATATTACAGTTGAAACACTGGCTTCTTAATCCTGTTCCTGCCTTGTGCCTCAGAACTCTGAAAAAGCATCATGGCACCTTTTGCATTGAGTATTGAGTCTTAAGTATTGCCTCTGCATTGGTTTGCTGCTGCTTGCTAGGCTCTACCCTAACTACCTTTCCCTCTTGTTTTGCAGAAAGAACTGGGACATTTCAAACATTTTGAAATGGTCTTCCCACTGAATTAACTCAAAACCACAATTCCTATTTGGTTATTAACCCAGTTTAAAGCTTTGGCATTTGCCCTCCCCTGGGGGCTGTGGTGGCTCCACTTGTGTTGCTATGCTAGGCCAGCTGTGCTACCCATCAGAGCTTTCTTTCTTTAAAAAAAAACATACATTTCAGAGAGGGAGAGAGACAGAAGCATCAATGATGAGAGAATCATAATTCGGCTGCCTCCTGCATGCCTCCCACTGGGGATCAACCTAGGTATGTGCCCTTGACGGGAATCAAACCTGGGACCCCTCAGTCCTTAGGCTGATGCTTTATCCACTGAGCCAAAACGGCTAGGGCAGAGCTTTCTTTCTTAAATGTCTATGCCAGTTCAGATTGTTTCCTTCAGAAGCTAGGGAACAGCTATTTTGTAGATACAGAGTGGGTCAAAAGTAGGTTTACAGTTTGAGTGCACAAAAATTATTTTTAATTATGTTTCTGATTTTAGAGAAACATCAATGAGAATCATTCATCAGCTACCTCCTGCATGCCCCCTCCTGGGGATCAAGCCTGCAACCTGGGCATGTGCCCTGACCAGGAATCTGACTTCCTAGTTCAAGGGTTGATGCTCAACTGCTGAGCCACAGCAACAGGGCATGAAAAGCTTATTTTTTAAAATATATTTTATTGCCGAAACCGGTTTGGCTCAATGGATAGAGCGTTGGCTTGGGGACTGAAGGGACCAGGGTTCGATTCCGGTCAAGGGCATGTACCTTGGTTGCGGGCATTTCCCCAGTAGAGGGTGTGCAAGAGGCAGCTGATCGATGACTCTCATCGATGTTTCTAACTATCTCTCTCCCTTTCTCTGTACAAAACCAATAAAATATAAAAAAATTTTTTAAAAAATATATTTTATTGACTTTAGAGAGGAAGAGATAGAAACATCAATGATGAGAATCATTGATTGGCTGCCTCCAGCATGCCCTCTACTGGGGAATCAAGCCTGCAAGCCAGGCATGTGCCCTTGGCCAGATTCAAACCTGGGATGCTTCATTCAGTCTGCAGGCTGATGCTCTATCCATTGACCCAAACCAGCTAGGGCATGAAAACCTTACTTTCCATACAAACTGTAAACCTACTTTTACCCTACCCTGTACATAGTATCTATGGGCTACAAAAAAACTTGGGAAATTTTTGGTATTTCCTACTTTTAAACCAGTTAAGATGGCAACATCTTCAGCATTCTTACATGTCCCTATGCTCTCTGAATTTGAAATGTACATTTTCCTCTAGGTTAAATCCTCTATTTGCTTATTTCTAGATTCCTTTCGATGTAGCCAAACTATATACTTATGTATGCTCTTAACATTACAAATGTTGCCACTTCATCCCCTATTTACCATTTGTAGTAAAGCAGTACTCTTCCACAAATGCACCTTTTTAACGAGTTAGTACTTGCAGGAGATACAAATAGATTTATAGATATGCCTTGGAGATATTGTAGGCTTGGTTCCAGATTGCAATAAAGTATCATATCTACAGGTTTGTTTTTTTTTACTGGAGGTTCCTTTGTTCAGTTTGTTAAAAGAAAAAAAAATCTGAAATGCAGTTAAACCAGGAATGCCTGTACTTGTTATTGCTAACTCATTAGAACCAAGCTCTGCTTTTGAAGACCAGTGTGCTCATTTCTCTTCAGAGGTAGCTAGACAGAAATGAATTCAGTATTCCCACCTTATTGCTGTCTCTATCCTCAAAGTATAGACAAATCAACTTAGAAAAAAAAGAACAGAAGTCAAACTTTCTTTCTCCATGTCTTTACTTTTAAACAGGAAGGGAAAATCGCACAGGTATACATAAAAAAAAAAGGCAGACATGATTACAGGTAAAAGCAAAGAAAATTTAACCAGAAAGCTTTAATGACTGTCAGTTGTTGAACCTAAAGTTCCGAGTAGACATGTTGCAGGGCTGAATTAGTATTCCTCTCCTTCTTCCTCACCCTCTCCCTCAACAGAATCCACACCAACTTCCTCATAATCCTTCTCCAGGGCAGCCATGTCCTCACGGGCTTCAGAAAACTCTCCTTCCTCCATGCCCTCACCCACATACCAGTGGACAAAGGCACGCTTGGCATACATCAGGTCAAACTTGTGGTCCAGGCGGGCCCAGGCCTCAGCAATAGCTGTGGTGTTGCTCAGCATGCACACAGCTCGCTGCACTTTGGCCAGGTCTCCACCAGGGACCACAGTGGGGGGCTGGTAATTAATGCCAACTTTGAAGCCAGTGGGGCACCAGTCCACAAACTGGATGCTGCGCTTGGTCTTGATGGTGGCAATGGCAGCATTGACATCTTTGGGGACCACATCACCACGGTACAAAAGGCAGCAAGCCATGTATTTACCATGGCGAGGGTCACATTTCACCATCTGGTTGGCTGGCTCAAAGCATGCATTGGTGATTTCTGCTACAGAAAGCTGTTCATGGTAGGCTTTCTCAGCAGAGATGACGGGGGCATATGTGGCCAGTGGGAAGTGGATGCGGGGATAGGGTACCAGGTTGGTCTGGAATTCAGTCAGATCAACATTCAGGGCCCCATCAAACCTGAGGGATGCAGTGATGGAGGACACAATCTGGCTAATAAGGCGGTTAAGGTTAGTGTAGGTCGGGCGCTCAATATCGAGGTTTCTACGACAGATGTCATAGATGGCCTCGTTGTCAACCATGAAGGCACAATCAGAGTGCTCCAGGGTGGTGTGGGTGGTGAGGATGGAGTTGTAGGGCTCAACTACAGCTGTGGAGACCTGGGGGGCTGGGTAAATGGAGAATTCCAGCTTGGACTTCTTGCCATAATCGACAGAGAGCCGTTCCATCAGCAGGGAGGTGAACCCAGAACCAGTGCCCCCACCAAAGCTGTGGAAAACCAAGAAGCCCTGAAGGCCCGTGCACTGGTCAGCCTGTCAGGAAAGAACAGAGGAAACATAGTTATTGCTTTTTGTGATGTATTTTCACTTTTCATACATTCCAATCATCTAAATCTTATTTGGACAGGAAAGACTTTATAACAATAAAGGAATAATTCCTCTCCCACTCTATTACATTTCAATTCTGTGTTTAAAAAAGAAAAAAGAAAAAGAAGAGCATACTTTAATGTCTTCCTTAGACTCATTAATTTCTTTAATCTTGAAAAGAAACATACCAGTTTCCGAATTCGGTCCAGGACGAGGTCAATGATCTCCTTGCCAATGGTGTAGTGTCCACGGGCATAGTTATTGGCAGCATCTTCCTTGCCTGTGATCAGCTGCTCAGGGTGGAAGAGCTGGCGGTAGGTACCAGTGCGAACTTCATCTGTAAAAGGGAACCAAAGCAGCCACCCATCACTAACCACCTGCACAAGCCTGCTCAACCCCAAGGCCTCAACGGAGGCCCCTGGACATACCTGTGTCCCAGACCTCCTCAGAGGTTGTGTGCGTCTTACTCAGGTTACTGAGGTCAACTCACCAATGACTGTGGGTTCCAGGTCTACAAACACTGCCCTGGGCACATGCTTGCCAGCGCCTGTCTCACTGAAGAAGGTGTTGAAGGAGTCATCTCCCCCGCCAATGGTCTTGTCACTTGGCATCTGGCCATCAGGCTGGATGCCATGTTCCAGGCAGTAGAGCTCCCAGCAGGCATTGCCGATCTGGACACCAGCCTGGCCAACATGGATGGAGATGCACTCACGCTGTGGAAGAGAGAAAAGAAAAAGAAAAACCAGGATGAAACTAACCATGATTGACTTAGAAGCAGAATACACGTATGGAATCTTAATCTTACCAATTGCCTGGGTTTTAAAAAATATTTTCATTGATTTTTTTTGAGAGAGGAACATCATTGATTGCCTGCCTCCTGCACACCCTCTACCAGGGATTGAGCCTGCAACCCAGGCATGTACCCTAACTGGGAATCTGAGCCACATCAGCAGGGAAACTAATTGCCTCTTTTAAAACAAATTAAAGTGTCAAACTTTTTCTCTAGGGGACCACCACTCTATGCTTTGATCTATATTGCTTCTAATGCATTTCCTTTCCCCCTGTAAACCAAGAAGGGGCCTTAGAGCTTTCTTCTTTGAAGGAACAAGATAGAGAGGATGCCATTCGTTCAGCACTCAGACTCAGAATACCATTTTAGACTAGATTTCCGGGCAGCCCCCAGCACAGGAAGCACGTGGCCAGAGCAGCAAAGAGGAAACGTCTGGCCGGGGCTGGCTCTGCGACACAGGATGAATGAGCAGTTTTAGGTGCGCGTGCCCAGAGGGGCCCAGCGGGGCCGCGCAGCTGCAGAGGGATGGACAACCAGCCACGTCTGCAGAAGGGTAGCAGCGGCCAACTGTCCTAAGGGCCTGTAGGCGTTGGGCTCCACCCAGCACCTCCACATCTGTCAGGGCACGGAGGGGATTATCCGCTCCGCATATCTGGGCCAAGATCGGATTTCAGTTGCTTCAAAATCCCTCACCACCACCACCTGTTCCCGCAAGCAATTCTGACGTAGCTGAGAGGCCAGGGAGGGGCAGATGGCCTCTATGAGGTGTTGGGAGGCGATTGTCCTAATACCCTGGCATGGTGCAGCACACGGACAAGGAGCCTTCCTCTACATCCATCTTTTTTTTTTTTTTTTGAGCGTCAATACTTTAATTTTGGTGTAAAGAGGGAAGCTGGAAAATACACTGTATTTTAAAATCTTGGTTCCCCCTCATATTCTGGAATCCCTCTCCCCCCACCTCTACATCCATCTTATTGCTTTATTGCTTTCATTAACACACACACACACAAAATATATCTGGGGTAACTAACAGGAGACCCTCCACCCAGCCCCGCAGCGCCCCAGCGCGCACGCGCAGGCCGCAGTGGCGGTCTCCCGCGGCCCCGCGGCGGGAAGGTAACGGCCGCGCGTGCGCCTTTGAGGCGGGTCCCTTCCCGCCTCCGCTTTTCGCGCCGAAGAGGAAGTGAGGGCGGGGGGAGCCCGCGCGCGCCAGTCTGAGGCGGGGGAGGCGGAGGGGGGGGATGGGGACGCGCGGGAAGAGACTGTCTGAAGGGTCATGGAACGCCGCGCCCTGCCCTGCGGTGAGGGGCTAAGAACCCTAACCCCGGTGGAAAGAGCCGGCGCGCCGTCATCCCCTTCCAGAGTCCAAGAAAAAAAGGCGGGGGGGGGGGGCCCTCCATGTATGGACCCCACCTTTTCTCCACAAACCGGAGCCGCTCTACACCCCCACCCTTGGCTCTTGCCTAATTTTTTTTTTTTTTTTTTTTTTCCCTCCAGATGGACGGCGCGGGTCTCAGCCCTCTCTAGTGAGGAGGCCCTCCGCATCCCCAGCTTGTTTCCCCTCATTTCCCCCAGCCAGGGAAGACGCATGTGGCCCACTCACCATGGCTGCGGGTTTGCAAGCGCAGGAAGCAGGAGTAGACGCCGGGTCCCGGTTACTGTCCCCGACAAGCTAAGAGTCGAGGTGAGTAACGCACTGAGGCGGGGGAGGCGCCCGAGTCGCTTAAGTAGGGTTTCGGGGAGGGGCGGGCGGGCACGGGCGGTGCCACGGCCGCGGCCCCTCCCCCGGCCCGGCGCGCCCACTCGGTGCCCGGCTCCGCCGCCGCAGAGGCGGGCGCCTGGCCCGGAGCCCCCTCCTCCCCGCGCCGGCCCGGCGGGCGGGGGCCTCCGCGCCTGCGGGCGGCGAGCTCGGGTGCCGCAGTGGGCGGCGCATGGCTGCCGGGGCCTGGGCGGAGGGCGGGCAGGGCCGGGCTCGGAGACAAACCATCCTGGGAATGCGAGAGAGAGGAAGCTGGCCTGAATTTGGGCCCACGCCAAGACTCGAGTCTGTAAAAGAGGAAGACTGTGAGATGCAGGAACTTCTGGTCCGGGTAGCTCAGCTGATTATGTTCAGTGTGGCCACAATTTGCCAGTGAGTTTTTTGCCTTTTTCTTTTCTTGGCTCCTTTAAAGGCAGTGGATGCTGTACTTCCCTGATAACGCAGAGTCCTCGAGGTTCGGAAAACAGAATAGCTCTGTTTGGTTTACTGTAATGACTTGTTCTTTAAACTAAAAGTACCACACGTTGGAAGCACAAACAGTTATTCGAAGCATTTAACATTCAAACTGTTTTTAAAAGAGCCTCCCTTTTGGACCTCAACCAGCAACTTTATGGAGTAGCCTTAGGGGAGATTCAAAGACATTTGAGAGGCTGAATTGAAAACAAACTTGGGTAGAGACGAAATAGACACGAAAGGATATTAGAAAGTAAGGATTCTTTATGCTAATTTCGTAAAACTATATCTTAAGGGCCTTGTGTTGTGTCAAATAGATTAGTTGGTTATAGTTTACTATTAGGAAGCCCAGATTATAGTGAGTAGACACTGCCCCGCCCTCCACCCCCATTCCCTTTAAGGAGAATATTCCAAGACCATTGTTAACCTTGGAAATGCATAAGGAGGTTATTTAGGGTTCTAGTGTGGCTTTTAAATGGTTCTAGCAGAAACCTATTATTATTACTACACTACTCAAAATATCCTCCCATTGATAGCGTATTAGTAACAAAAAAGGTAAACATAAGACAGTAGAAATTTCACATTCAGTTTTTACCTGATTCAGATTTGGTCAAGCCTTCACCCTTCATATCAGACAAATAAAACATTTACATGTGTGTGCAGTTTGTAACAATATCTAGATATTTCCCACTCATATTCATATGATCTTGGAATGCAAACAAGGAAGTTCTCATTTATTCCTCATAAATATTTTTCGTAGTCCTGTTAAAAGGTTTTTGACTCAAAGCCCAAATTTTCATACATTATCCAAACTGGGTTATAGGGGACAGGAATATCTTTGAACATTGTCTCACTTATTATTGACATACAATGTCCTATTAGTTTCAGGTTGTTTTACTTATACTTGCTTTTGAAAATTTATTTGTCCCACTTAGTCTTAAAAGGAGATGGAAAATGCATATGTTTTATTGTGCTTTGCTTTATTGTGCTTCACAGATACTGCATTTTTTACAAATTGAAGGCAAGGCTCTCCACTAGCAAAAATATTACAACTAGCTTTATTGCAGTGGTCTGGAACTGAGCTTACAATATCTCTGAGGAATGCTTGTCATTAGCTTGTCTTAACCCGAAGTATGAATGTTTTGAAACAACCTAGCTGAATTCCATTCTGCTGTCTGCTCTGGATGAAAGTCATTTGAAGAGGAGCCTCCCTCCTCCTAGCTTTCTGCAGAATCTTAGAGCTTTCACTGCAGTGATTTGCTCCTGTGAGCCTATATGTCTCCCCAGATGACTTCCTAAAACTATTAGCTTTGCTAGCCTTGTTTTCTGTGAATTCCCCTGTTGTGAGTAAGGAATTATTTGCCCTTTTTTCTTTCTTCCTTTCTTTTAGGTTCCTGAGGATACCTTAGGTTTTAGAAAATAAGAGAGCCAAAGGAACCTTTCAATATAACCTAGTTTGGTATCTTTATGCCAGAAAAAGACTGAGTAATGCTAAATTAATTAATTCTGCTACCTTTTTAGTATACTTGATAGGAAAGGCTGGCATTTTTTCCCCTTTTTTATCCATAGTATCTTACATGTTCTATACATG